TGGTGTATGTGGCCGGCTCCCTAACCACTGAGCTATGGGCACCAAGCCATTGAGTTAATTTTTTCATGTGGTATAAGGTATGAATCAAAGTGCTTATGTATATACAATCATTCTAGAGTCACTTGTTGAAAAAGCTATCTTTTCTCAATTTTATTCCTATTATATTTTAATTTAAAAAATTAGTTGTCTATATTCTGAAAACAGAGTCTGAAAATAGACCATATTTATACACCTTGCTACCAGTACCACAATGTCATAATGACTGCAGCTTTCTTGATATCAAGCATAGTGAGCCTTCCAACTCTGTTATTCAAAGTTCTTTAGGCTTTCTTAGGTTCTTTTGATTTCCATATATATTTTATTTTTTAATTTATTTTTTATTTTTAGAGATAAGGCCTTGCTATGTTGCCCAGGCTGGAGTGAAAGGGGTCTTCACAGGTACAGTCATAATGTGCTACAGCCTCAAACTCTCTAGCTCAAAAATCCTACTGCCTCAGCCTTGCCAAGTAGCTGGGACTACAAGTGTAGTGCACTACTGCACCCAGCACCATATGAATTTTAGAGTCAGCTTGTCAATTTGTATTTTAAAAGTCTGCTTGGGGCTGGGCGTGGTGGCTCATGCCTGTTGTTCCAGCGCTGGGGGAGGCCGAGGCCGCTGGATCACCTGAGCTCAGCCAAGTTCGAGACTAGTAGAAGACCAGCACGAGGCAGAGTCAGCCAGAGTGAGACACCGTCTCTACAAAAAAAAAAGCCGGATGTTGTGGCGAGCACATGTAATCCCAGCTACATGGGGGGCAAGAGGGCAAGAGAATCGCTAAAGGAGAAAGAAAGAAAAAAAAATTAAAAAAATTAAAAGTCTGCTTGGGCACTGATTGTGATGGCATTGACTCTATAGACCAATTTAGGGAAAATTAACATTTTAATAATATTAAATGAATAAGATACATATCCTCATTTACTTAGTATCTAGGCTTTCTCTTTAATTTACCTCAGCAATGTTTTATAGTTTCCACTGTATAGGTCATGCATATATTAGGCAGCCTGGGCTGCCACCACAGTGTACCATGTAGACTGCACAGATTAAACAACTATGAGGAATAAAACAAACTGTGAGCAACACATCTCTCACAGTTCTGGAGCCTGGAAAATCTAAGATCAAAGTGCAGACTGACTCAGTTCCCTAGCGAGGGCTTTCCTCCTGGCCTGGAGATGGCTGCCTTTTCACTGTGTTCTCACATAGCAAAGAAAGGGAAAGAAAGAAGCCCTCTGGTGTCTCTTATAAGAGCACTAATGCTGTCACATGGGCCACACACTCATGATCTCATCCAAACCCAGTAACTTCCTGTCTCCAAATACTATCACACTGAGGATCAGGGCTTCAACACATAAATTCTTGGAGATATAAATCAGTTTATAGAAACATATTTGTCAGATATATCCCTCAACTTTATAATATTTTTTGATACCACTGTAAATTGATTTTTAAAATTTTTAATTTCCAATAGTTCTTTACTGGTAAATAGAAATACAATTGGTGTGTATATATTTATATTCCATACTACAATTTCTCTAAACTTACTAGTTCTAACAGCTTTTTATAGATTTTGTCTAATTCCTACCAAGGTGATTATGGCATGTGTAGGAAATTCTTCCTTTCCAATCTAGATGGTTTTTACTTCTTCTTTGCCTTATTGCAATCAGAGAACCACCAGTACAACGATTAATAAAAGTAATGATAGTAGACTTCTGTACCTTGTTCCTGATCTTAAGAGTAAAGCATTCAAACTTTCACCATCAAATATAATGTTAGCTGGAGGTTTTTCATAGAGGCCTTTTTTCAGGTTTCCTTCTATTCCTAGTTTCTGAGAGTTTTTATGAGAAACAGATCTTGGGTTTTGCCAATGCACTGTCCTGCATGTATCAAGATAATCATACATTTTTTTTTCTTTTTTTATGTGCGTTTGTTAATTAGTGAAATAACAATGATTTATTTTCCAATGTTAAGCCAACCTTCAATTCCTGGGATATAGCCCATTTCAAGATGTATTATCCTTTTAAAAATATTATTGGATTTTGGCTCAGCACCCATAGCTCAGTGACTAGGGCACCAGCCACATATACCAGGGCTGGCGGATTTGAACCCAGCCCAGGCCTGCTAAATAACAACGACGATCGATAACAACAACAACAACAACAAAAAACCAGCCAGGCATTGTGGCAGGCACCTGTGGTCCGAGCTACTTGGGAGGCTGTGGCAAGAGAATCACTTAAGCCCAACAGTTTGAGGTTGCTGTGAGCTGTGATGCCATTAGCACTTTACCAAGGGAGATATAATGAGACTGTCTCAAAAAAAAAAAAATTATTGGATTTGATTTGCAAAAACTTTGTTTAGAATTTTTGCCTTTATGCCCATGAGGGATATTGGTCAGTAGTTTTCTTTTAATATCATCTTGTTTTAGTATGAGGGCACTGTTAGTCTGAGAGATGAGTTGGTATGGGTTCCTGTCTCTTCAGTTTCCTGGGAGAGTTTGTCTAGAATTGGTATTATTTCTTCCTTAAATGTTTATCCACTAAATTTCTATTTATCACAAAAGTCATTTGGTCTGGGGTTTTCTTTTAGGGAAGGTTTTTAACTGTCAATTCAAGTTCTATAATAGATAAAGGGCTGCTCCGATTATCTGTATCTTGAGTTTGGTAGTTTGTGTCTTTCAAGGTTTTGTCATTTCATCTACATTGTCAAATGTCTTAGCATAAAGTTGCTCATAAAAATGTTTTTATGAACTATATAGCTTTGTTTTATCAACAGAATCTGTTGTGATGACACCACTCTCATTACTAATATTTTAAATTTATGTCTTTTCAAGACAACCCACACAATGGGAAAAGATATTTGCAGGATATGAATCTGGCAAAGAGTTGATAACCAGAATCTACAGAAAATTCAAATCAATCAATAAAAAAAGAGTAAACAATCCCATCTACCACTGGGCAAGAGATATGAACAGAACCTTCTCTGATGAA